CGCCGCGACGAGAGCGAGCTCTTCCGGGCCCACGCGCGCTACCGCGCCGACGCCGGCGGCGAGCTGGACCTGGCGCGCGCGCCCGCGCTGGGCGGCAGCTTCGCGGGGCTGGAGCCCATGGGGCTCTTCTGGGCCATGGAAGCGGAGAAACCTTGGGGTCGACTGGTGAAGCGGGACGTGAACCAGCCTTTCGCCGTGGAGCTGGAGGTGCTCGACGGCCACGCGCCCGAGGGAGGGCGCCTCCTCTTCCTGCCGCCAGGTGAGCGACCCGCTCCCGTGGCTATTCTGGGCCATTCTGGAGAGTTGGGTGGAGTGCGAGACCCTGCTGACTTCTTGCCTGGCCTGGGAACCACGTGATGGTGGCACTGACCAAAATTGGTCCCCGCGCTCCCGAGTCTATTGTGGATTCTGGGTGGAAGTTTTTCTTCAAGTGTAATGGCACTAACTGAGGCCCTGGCGCTCAGGCATGTCCCCAGGTGAAGAAGGACCAACTAACTGTATTTATATTAATATGATATATTTAAGTTAAATTAAAAAGGATCCTTCTTCCACCACCCCCCACACCCTCAACTTTCCTTGTTTCAAAAACTTCTCTTTCCTGATTGCCAAAATCTGAATCCCAAGAATGTCTTTTGAGAGTCTAAAGCTCCTTTTGTTTTATGGTCCCCTCTAGGTGCAGGGCCCTTCCCTGGGATCATTGATCTGTTTGGAAGTGGTGGTGGCCTTTGTGAATACAGGGCCAGCCTCCTGGCCGGACATGGCTTTGCTGTGCTTGCTCTGGCTTACTTCAGATTTGAAGATCTCCCAGAAAGTCTCAATGATGTGCACTTGGAGTACTTTGAAGAAGCTGTGGACTTCATGCTGCAGCATCCAGAGGTGGGTTCTGGTGCTCCTGTGAATGCAGGGGAGAAGCAGAACGGACACAGGGCTGGATCCAAAAGCCCCAAGTCTGGCATGAGACACAAAGGCTCCTTCAGGAGTTTTATTAAAAGGATTATTATTTCCATTTCCACCCATCTCTCTCTAATTCCTTGAGAGTTGACTGTTTAGTTTCCTTTAATTCTTTTTTAAAAAAATCCTCTCCCAAGGATATGTTTATTGATGTTAGAGAGAGGAAGAGAGAGAGAGAAACATTAATGTGAGAGAGAAACATCCATTAGTTGCCTCCTGTACACACACAGACCAAGGATTGAACCTGCAACCTGGGTAATGTGCCCTGACCAGGAATGGAACCTGCAACCTTTTGGTGTATGAGACAATGCTCCAGTCAACTGATCCACCCCCCAACACACACACCCCACACACACACCCTCACCCCCACCAGGACGTTCCCTTTAATTCTTGACCATAATTCAAAGAACTGGACTAAAAAGTGACTAACCTTGAGTTCTGGTTTTATATCTACTACCAAGAAGCCTTACGATCCTGAATAAGGCAGCTGCCCTCTCTGGGATTCAGTTTTTCTCATGTATAAGATTAATGTGAATGTATAGAAGAAAAGCTTTGACTAGAAAGAGAGGCATCTTTGAGACAATTGGTGACATTTGAATGAGGACTGTGTATTTGATGATATTAAGGAATCATTATGCATTTTGTTAAGTGTGATAGTGATATTAGGGTTTTGCAGAGAAAGTTCTTATCTGGTAGTGGAAAAAATGAATTAAAATATTTTGGTAGTGATAATAAATGGAATCGATACTCTTTGCTACTATCTGAACTTAGAGACCCACACATTTTAATGTTAAGGAATAAGATATTCTACAAAGTCTGTAGGATGATTTAACTCTGCTAAAATTCATGGACTGGTCTTTTAGCAGAGCTGCTAAAACATAGATGGTCTTGAACTGTGATGATTGGTTTATTTAGGGGACATAAGGCCCCAGAAAAAAGAACAGTATCCAGTGGTCGGCAAACTCATGAGTCAACAGAGCCAAATATCAACAGTACAACAATTGAAATTTCTTTTGAGAGCCAAATTTTTTAAACTTAAACTATATAGGTAGGTACATTGTTATTAACTTAATTAGGGTACTCCTCAGGCTTAGGAAGAGCCACATTCAAGGGGCCAAAGAGCCGCATGTGGCTCGTGAGCCACAGTTTGCTGACCACTGGTATATAATATTAGTTCTGCCCTCAAACCTAGGCAAAAGGGACTTCTTCCTTGGGCCCTTTGTTTTGGATGACCACACTCTGGCCTTTCTTTGGTGCACTCTGCCCACAGGCTAAGGAGTCCAAACGACCAAGGGAATGTGTTCACCAGGAACCCATGTGGCCCCTTGCTCACTGTGCCCTTGGATCTTGAACCCCAGAATTTTCTGCCAAACTGCAGTTTCTGCTTTCAGGCCCAATGCCTCTCCTTGGGGTCTTTTTTTTTTTTTTTAAGGGAGAGGGAGAGAGATAGAAGCATCGATGATGAGAGAGAACCATTGAATGGCTGCCTCCCGCTTGCCTAGCCTCACACTGGGGATGGAGCCCGCAACCAGGGCATGTGTCCTGACTGGGAATCGAACCGTGACCTGGTTCATTGGTCAATGCTCAACCACTGAGCCACACCAGCCAGACTTTAAATTTGTTTTATTTTATTAATCCTCACCCAAGGATATTTTTTCATTGATTTTTGAAGAGAGTGGAAGGAAGGGGGAGAGACAGAGAGAGAAAGAAGCATCGATGTGAAAGAGACACATCGATTGGTTGCCTCCTGTACGCCCCCCAACCAGAGCCAGAGATTGAGCTTGCAACCAAGGTATGTGCCCTTGACTAAAATAGAACCTGTGACCCTTCAGTCTGCAGGCTGACGCTCTATCCACTGAGCCAAACTGGCCAGGGCTCAGGGTCTTTCAGTGTTAATACACCAAGTCTAAACATATTGGTTGGGTTGTTCACACATGTGTGAAAAGCCCCTTAACTTGCATGATGGAGCTAGGGGTGGAAGAGCAGAGCGGTGGGCCAGGGACCAGGGATTGGGGTCAGGCCTGGCTCTCCCCTATGTCATGTTCCAGTATAAAACTCCAATGAGTTCCAAGATTTTAAATTTGAACCTTGTAAATTGTTATGGAGGCATATTATCAAGGTAGGAGAAAAGAATATATTTTATTTAATAGTTTGTTCATTTGATATTTAACTTTTAAATATTTAGGTATAGGGTGAATGGCTCTCTGTGTGTATTCTTAACCCAGACCCCATAGATATTAGTGGAAGGCCTGTGTACTAGGAAATCAATTAATTTGCTTATTAGAAGACACTTTTGAACCTTGTAGGTTGTTGCATAAAAAAGGAAAGCAAGTGACATTTGAGAAAACTGTCTGGAGAATATAGCATCACTGTTTATGGCCTCTACTTATGAATTCTAAGCTTATTCTCTCTCTCTCTCCTCATCAGGTGAAAGGCCCTAGTGTTGGGCTTCTTGGATTCTCCAAAGGAGGTGACTTGTGTCTCTCAATGGCCTCTTTCTTGAAGGGCATCACAGCCACTGTGGTTATCAATTCCTGTGTGGCCAACACAATAGCTCCTCTGCATTACAAGGATATGATTATTCCTGATCTCGGCAGTGACCTAGGGAAATATACAACCACCGAGTCAGGCCTGTTCAATTTTATGAACATTTGGAATAATCCACTGGAAAAACCCTACCACCAAAGTCTTATTCCACTGGAAAAGGCCCAGGGACCCTTCCTATTTATTGTTGGCATGGACGATTATAGCTGGAAGAGTGAATTCTATGCTTCTATGGCCTCTGAACGGTTACAAGCCCACGGGAAAGACAGACCCCAGATACTCCGCTACCCAGGAACTGGTCACTGTATCGACCCACCTTATTTTCCTCCTAGTAGAGCCTCTGTGCATGCAGTACTGGGCCTACCAGTATACTACGGAGGTGAGCCAAAGGCTCATTCAGGGGCACAGGTAGATGCCTGGCAACAAATTCAAGCTTTCTTCCATAAACATCTCAATGGTAAAAAACCTGTCAACAGCAAACTGTAACTTTACAATCATAGATGAGATACTATTAATAAAAATCCTATCCATGCGACATGTATTGGGTTTTCCAGAGCACCCAGGAATCTTTTTGTAACAAAGCAACCACCTTGGCTTCCTTGTCAGGTCCTACTGGATTCTCAACCTTTGCAACCCTCTTTTCTTCACTGCTTGGTCTACCCCTTTGTCCCCTGAACTTTATCCAATGTATAGGCTTAACCCTGATTTTATTTTATTTTATTTTAAAATATATTTTATTGATTTTTTACAGAGAGGAAGGGAGAGAGACAGAGAGTCAGAAATATCGATGAGAGAGAAACATCGATCAGCCGCCTCCTGCACATCCCCCACTGGGGATGTGCCCACAACCCAGGTACATGCCCTTGACCGGAATCGAACCTGGGACCTTTCAGTCCATAGGCCGACGCTCTATCTACTGAGCCAAACCGGTTTCGGCATTAACCCTGATTTTATTGGTAAGAACAATCTTAACCTTAAGCAGGAGAAACATAAGAAGTGCTTGCCCAACTTTCAATTGCTGTCCTAGAGTTGGCCTTGTGTTCTTGTTCTGTGGACTGAGATTCCGTATTGCTAAGAGTCCCATATACACCTTGGGCCCTAACTGACCTTATCTGAGCTTTGGGAACCTGCCCACTCTAGTTCCTTAAGGAATGGAGTCTGCTTAACTCTTACCAGTACACATTCCTGCACGTGTGCTCAAGACTTGTTTTTGAATTCCCATTGGGACATCGATACAGTAGTACCCCCTTATCTGCAGTTTCAGTTACCTGTGATCAACAGTGGTCAGAAAATATTAAATGAAAAATCCCAGAAATGAACAACTCATATGTTTAAATTGCATGCCTGAGTACCTCACTTCATCTCATCACACAGACATTGTGATCACACATCTTCACAAGAAGGGCGAGTTCAGTACAATAAGGTATTCTGAGAGACAGAGCAGCACGTTCACATAACTTTTGTTATAGTATATTGTTATAATTGTTCTATTTCATTAGTTATTATTAATCTCTTTGCCTAATTGATAAATTTTGTTATAGGTATGTATATGTGTGTGTGTGCATGTATGTGTGTGTGTGTGTGTGTGTATATATATATATATATAAACAGTACTGAATATATAGGGTTTGGTACTATCCATGGTTTCAGGCGTCCACTGGGGGGTCTTGGAATGTATCCCAATGAACAAAAGGGGACTACTGTACTAAGCTTTGTTTTTTTTTAAAAAAATGTATCTTTATTGTTGAAAGCCTTACTGATGCCCCTCTTTCTCCCCCATTGACCCTCTCTACCCTGCTCCTGCCCCCTCCCCAGGTCTTCACCAAACTATTGTCCGTGTCCATGGATTATGCATATATGTAAAATGTTCCCCCCACCCCATAGTTCCAAACATAGTTATCACTGTATTATTGACTATATTCCCTATGCTGTATTTTACATCCCCTTGACTGTTTTGTAACTACCAATTTGTACATCTTAATCCCTTCACCTCTAAGCTTTGCTTTTATTTTATGAATAAGGCCCTAGATCTCAATTTCTTCTTACTGATAAAGTATACATCACACATTTTTAATTACCTTCCAGCCTGAGGAGATATGCTCAAATAGTGCAGAGCTGCATGATGAGGACTTCTAGAAAGTTAAGGGTATGTTAGGGTCACATAATTGAGTCTCCATAAACCAAATTGGAGAGTTTAGATTTAAAATGATAAGAAATGAGGAACCATTTGTAAACATTGATTTTTTTAAAAAAAAATTATCTTTAATGTTGAAAGTTATACAGATGTACCCTTTTTTTCCCATTGACCCTTTCTAGCCCATCCCCTCCCCCACCCCAGGCCTTCACCACACTACTGTGTGTGAACATATTGGTTTTTTAAATGGCTGTCAGCAATTTTACTTTGAAGCTTAGTGGCTCAAAGCAGTGGAAACCTAAAAGAAATTTAATTGGAGACACTTTTAAAAAAGAAAACGACCAAAAAAAACCACACACACAAATCAAAAAATATAACCAAATTCAGCCCTTTGTTTCTGTTTTCCTTAGTGCTCCCAATACTTTTGAATGTACTTCATCAGAGTGAGAAAGGCCAAGGGGCCATTTAGGAAGCAAATGGATGTTTTTGTCAACCACCGATCACTTAAAAATATTTATATAAACTTGTTACATACTTCAGCAAGTTGAAAATCACAAGCTATTATGTACATTCATTTTACATTGTTTTTAAATATATATATTTGTATTGATTTCAGAGAGGAAGGGAAAAAGGAGAGAAAGATAGAAACATCAATGATAAGAGAATTGTTGATTGGCTGCCTCCTGCCTGCCTCCTTACTGGGGATCGAGCCTGAAACCTGGGCATGTGCCCTGACCCGGATCGAGTTGGAATTGAACCATTACCTCCGGGTTACCAGTGAGCCAGGCTAGTAGGGCGTTTAAGTGGTTTTGAACACTGGAAAGATAAAAGCTTGTGAAAGGCATTTTATTTTCTCAGATGGCACATGCAGAGATGCACAAAATCCAAAATTCATGGGCACTATAATGATGGTTTTGTGGTGCAGAAGTGAAAATATCTTGAGCTATTTTTCTAAAACTGGGGCATCAGCCACATATGTATGTCTTCTCCAAAGACAGAGAGCCTTAAACAGGGTTGTTGTGTGAGGCAAGAGAGGCCATTTGCATGGAAAAGCCAGTGGAAATTGGGTGGGACGGGGTCTCAGGGAAGCATCAGGACGGGGCTATCAGGGTAAGCCTAGTTGTTAGAGTCTCAGATATGGCTTGCCTGCCGGCTCTGTGGGGAGGGCTCAGCAAGGAATAATGGCCTCTGCCAGCGTCTGTCTGGGAGCAAGCTGCCTTTCAGCCCTTACCTTGAAGCCAGACAATTCAATTCTTCCCAGGATGTCCCTGGCTCTTTTGAGCGGCTGCCCCAGCATTGGACCTCAGAGGGAGTGAGTCCAAGTAAGTCCATGTGCCAGCCCTTTAAGAGGAACTCCTGGGCCCAGCCTGAGTGGCTCAGTGGTTGAGTGTCAGACCTATGAGCCAAGAGGTCATGGTTCAATTCCCAATTCCCCATCAGGGCACATGTCCTAGTTGAAGGCTCGGTCCCCAGTGAGGGGGGTGTGCAGGAGAAAGCCAATCAATAATTCTCATCATTAATGCTTCTATCTCTCTCTCTGAAATTGTTGTAATGTACCCCCACGAATCACACAAGGACACCTCAAGAAGTCGAATTAAAGAGTCACATTTATTGCAAATCCCGGACTATGAGGGGGCATTTCACTCTCCCAGATCTCATAGTGATAAGATGGCCGCAACACCAGATTTATATAGGCAAAAATCACAAAGGTATTGATTACATTCCAGGGTTTGGAATGAGGAACCTGATTTGCAAAAAGCAGTTTACAGAAGCAGAAGCAGCATGTTATCTAAATTATAGTTTTGGGTCTCCGGATTACTGAATTGACAGAAACAAGTTAACTAGAG